AGCATATAGTAGGGACAGTGGAACAGAGCATTTCAGGGCACTGTGACACCTCTCTGAGCATACATCTTTTTATAAGTTTTGAACTCTACGTGTGTGTCAACTCTTTGAAACCCAACAAAGAACAAAAACAACAACAACAAAAAAAACTGCCAGCAGATGGTGGTTATATGGACATGTTTACTGTCATATAAATCATCAAACTATAAACTCACCATTAGTTCTCAGTATGTGTGTGAGATAAAAAAAAATTGTTATAAGAAGCCATTGATTCTGAACAACAAAATCTGGTACATTTCACATCAGATGTTGAGCCCCCTTTGAAACTGAAGCCAAACTAATTGTGATCCATATATACCAGATAAGGATATATCCTAAAGCCCTATATGATACCTATAAAAAAAAAGTATAATAATGAATTCGGCATGTACTCTACTTTTCCTACATACTCATTACATAGTATAATTTATCAATTATGTGCCATAAAAATCAATAATAAAATCAAACAATCATAATATCTATTATAATGTTTATTTATAACCTATTGATTATTTATGGAATTTTCCATGTAACAGTTTTGGACTGCAGTTGAAAGATAGAACTATGACCACAGGAAGGTGAAATGACAGATAAGGGACGACTGACCTCTTTCTTCAGTACAATATTCTGTAATTATGAGCTTACATTTTCGTATCTCTGGCTAGATTGAAACTTTTGGAAGGATATGGACCATACCTCATTTTTTTGCTAATTCCATAGTTCATTTTTGCTAATTACGTGAAAATTGTAATTTATCTAATGATTGCTTAAATAAAAAAGAGGCAGGAGGGGTCAGGAAAAATGACCCAGTGGTTAAAAGTGGTTACTGCTCTTGAAAAGGATCAGAGTTTACTTCCTAGCACCCACAGTGGGTGGCTCACAGATGCCTGTAACTCAAGCTTCAGGGGATCTGACACCCTCTTCTGGCCTCCATGAGCACCTGCACTACTCATACCTACATCTCCCTCTCTCTGTTTCTCTATCTCCTTCTCTCTATCACGCACACACACACAGAGAGAGAGAGATACAAAGATGACACACATTAAAAAAAAAAAAACACTATTGTCCTAATTTGGTAGACCCTTTTTCTATGTGCTGAAATCTCACACTGTACCTCCTGGAATATGTTCACTTATTGCACATTAGTCAAAAAGTATTATTTAGTCTCTTCCCTCGGTTCCTCCTTGTTGTTTAGCTTCTTTAGGACTACAGATTTTAGTAGGTTTATAACCTTATTCAGAAGTGCAAATAGGATAGTCAATGGAAGTAGGAGAGGACAAGGAACAGGACAGGAGCTTCCACAGGGCCCTCTGAAAGACTCTACCCATCAGGGTACTGAAGGAGATGCTAAGACTTATAGCTAAACTTTGGGCAGAGGACAGGGAATCTTATGGAAAAAGAGGGAGGGAAATCAAAAGACCTGGAGGGGAAAGGAGCTCCACAAGGAGACCAACAGGGTCAAAAAACCTGGGCCCAGAGGAGGTGGGGGGGGGGACCTGCAGAGACTGATACTCCAGCCAAGGACCATGCATGAAGAGGACCTAGACTCCCTATTCAAAGGAAGCCCATTGACTGCTCAGTTTCCAAGTGCATTTCCTAGTAAGGGGAACAGGGGCTGTCTCTGACGTCAAGTCAGTGGCTGGCTTTTTGATCACCTCTCCCTGGAGGGTGCATTCTTACCAGGTGATAGAGGAAGATAATGCAGCCAGCCCTGACAAGACCTGACAGGCTAGGGTCAGATAGAAGGGAAGAAGTTCCGCACCTATCAGTGGACTAGGGAGGGGCATAGGGAGAAAAGAGGGAGGGCAAGTGGGACTGGGAGGAGATAAGGGGGGGCTACAGATAGGATACAAAGTGAATAAATTGTAATAAATCATAAATAATTAATTATTAATAACTAATAAATAATTTTTTAAATGTATTATTTAATTAAAATGCACAGGTAGATTTGTAAGACAAAAGAAAATATTTGAATAGTTCTTTTAAATAAAGAGCACAATTTCAAATGTTTCTTTGGCATCATTTATGTGCTTGTTTAACCCTAATTCTAGACCCTGAAAATCTGGGTTGAGTACTGTGAGGTTCTCGGAGCAGATATGGAATGGTTCTTGGCTGTGAAAGTGAAGCTCTTACCTGGCAGAAGAAGTTCTACCAATTGAGATCCTTCTCATTTCTACTTTATAATTTGAGAGCTGTCCCCACACCTCATTCTGGAGATCTATTTAGGCCTTATTGCTTATGTCCCCTGGATTACTCCAACAAAAACAAAGATAAGGGTAAATTCTAAACCCATGAATAACATATCCAATATAAGAAAATTCCAATCATTATGTCATTGTTTTTAACAGCTGAGTAATACTCCATTGTGTAAATGTACCACATTTTCTGTCCTTTCTTTGGTTGAGGGACATTTAGGTTTTATTTTTTCCAGTTTCTGACTATTACGGATAAAATTGCTTTGAACATAGTTGAGCAGGTGCCCTTGTGATAGGATGGAGCATCTTTTGGGCATGTGCCCAGGATTGCTATAGCTGTGTCTTGAGGTAGATCGATTTCCAATTTTCTGAGAAACTCTTTTGCTCACTTGGTCACAAAGCAAGCCTCAACAAACTATTGTGGGACCCTCTTTTCCCTCTACTGGATTGCCTTGTCCATCCTTGATGTGATGGTATGTGTCTGGTTTTATTGTGGATTGCTATGCGGTGTTTGTTGATGCCTGGTGGGCGGGAGGTGGTCTGTGGGAGATGGGGAGTGGGGGCAGAGGCTGGGGGAGGGAGGGGGGGGAACCGCAGTCATGTTGTAATGTATGAGAAAAGAACAAAAAATATTTTTAAAAATCTTGTACCAATTTTCCCATGCAACTTTCCAACCTGATGCTGCAGAAAGCAGAAAAAAAAAAAAAGTATTATGAATTAATGAAGACTTCTTTAGAAACCAGACCTACAAAGTGTGTTCCAAATTCTTTTAAAAAGAACCAAATTTATCATTAAACCTTGGAATAATCCTGTAACTCTGACATGAGGCTTAGTGAGAGAGCCCAGTCTTTAATTGTTCCCACAATTTGTGTGCATTGCTGAACCCTGATGTGGAAGAATGTGGCTGTGATAACTTTGATCACAGGTTTGAGACATTACATACCTTCATGAACAGAAATGGTTAAGCTATTCTAGTAAACTAATAATAAGTACAGGAATGTAAGAATGGGACTAACCATGGAAAAATAACTCAAAAAAATTCCCTGAGGCTAAAGCATAAAGCAAATTGGTATGTATTTTTTTTTAAAAAAAGTAATAAATTGTAGCTATTTACATTCCTACTCTGATGGCACTGCCTGTGTTTTCTGAAGGATGGCTTCTTTGCTAGGGATTATTAACTTGAGAGAGGATAACTAACAACAAATGATATTTTAATGACTGGAAGAAAAAAAGTGTTACATTTATTGTAATTTCACTGAAGAAAAACACATCTTGGGAGTGACTTAATCTTACTTTAAAAGGTCTGCTGTGTTTTGAAACAGTGACACATTTTAGGAAAAGAAACAGTAATATATTTTCCCTTTCAAAAAATTAACAAACATTTAACATGATTTGGCTATGATATCATGGCACTATTCTGGTGACTAAAAGGGCAGGGAGAGGAATAAAATGCAACCTTTGATTTCAAGGCATTTATGGTCTTGTGAAGAATAATCTAAAATCACCTCTGTTTTCTATCAAGCTAATAACAGTAAACAAAGACATAATCTCCTTAGGTCCACAGTCACTGGCCTTTTAAACACTTGCTTTTAAAATCTTCTTAGTCAGGAAAAGAGAATCCTTCCCACAGATTTAGAACAGTAAACTAACTACCTTGCAGCCTTGAAAGAGTGTAACTAACAGTAGGAAACACTGGAGAACTGACTGATGAGATAAAACACTTTTTTAAAAATAAATAAATAAATTTATTTATTTGTTTGTTTGTTTATTTATTACAAGTTATTCACCTTGTATCCAGGCTATAGCTTTCTCCCTCATCTCCACCCAGTCTCAACCTCCCTCCCTCTTCTCCCCCTCTGTCCCTTCCCCTAGTCCACTGATAGGGGAGGACCTCCTCCCCTTCTACTTGCCACTAACCTATCAGGTCTCACCAAGACTGGCTTCATTGTCTTCCTCTGTGGCCTGGCAAGGCTGTACCTTCCAGGGGGAGGTGATCAAAAAGCCAGCCACTGAGTTCATGTCAGAGACAGCACCTGGTCCCCTGACTAGAGATCCTACTTGAAAACTGAGCAGCCTATAGGCTACATCTGAGCAGGGCATCTAGGTCCTCTCCATGATGGACCTTAGTTAAAGTATCAGTCTCTGAAAGGCCCCTCTGGCCCAGGTTTGGGGCTCTGTTCGTCTTCTTTTTTTTTAATATCATTTTTTATTTATTACAATTTATTCACTTTGTATCCCAGTGGTACCCCCCACCCTTGTCCTTTCCCAATCCCGCCCTCTCCCCTCCCTCATCTCCTCTCATGTCCCTTCTCCAGTCTTCTTATAGAACGCCTGTCCCCTCCAGGTCTTTCTATCTCCCCTTCTTCCATAAGATTCCCTGCACTCTGCCCAAAATTTGGCTATGAGTCTTGGCATCTGCTTTGATACTCTGCTATGATAGGTAGAGTCTTTCAGAGGCCCTCTATGGTAGGCTCCTGTCCTGTTTCCTGTCTTCTCCCACTTTGGGATGTCTATCCTGTTTGCCTTCTGAATGAGAATTAATCATCTTCTCTAGGGCCCTCCTTGTTGTTTAGCCTTTTTAGGACTATAGATTTTAGTGTGTTTATCCTATATTATATGTCTAATATCCACTTATAAGTGAGTATATATCATGTATGTCTTTCTGCTTCTGGGTTACCTCACTCAGGATGATCTTTTCTAGTTCCCACCATTTGCCTGCAAATTTCATGATTTCCTTATTTTGTTGTTTTTCTTGTTTTGTTTTGTCAGTAGACCCCAAAAGACCACTACCGGGAGTCGAGTCCATTGCAGAACACATGAGGATCTTTTTATTACAAGCTGCATCTTGGGCTCACACTCACTGCTGAAGCCCCATGCTCAGGTTAGTTGGGTGATTTAAATATATGTGGTGATGATGTTTTGTGTGTGCAGAAATGTCAGTCAATATCTATGTTAACTGCTTCTACAAGCAAATTCCAGTTAAATTTCCAGTTATCATGGTATTAAAAAAAAAAAAAAGAGTTGAAAAAAAAAAAAGAGTCTGGTTCCTGCTAGCATGCCCAAAGCAGGGAGATTCCTGCCTGGCAAACAAATGTTGGTCGAAACACAAAAGGGATGTTGTATTTTGAATTGATGGGCTATAGGAAGGCCCCCAAACCTTTAATGGTCTGGCTTCCCTTCCTAGGAGAGAGGGGCCAGTTTCCTAGCAACAGTATCTCTAGTGGGTGGGGAAAGAATGCAGTAAGGCTAGTTCTTCCCCTCAGGGCATTGAGGCTAGTTCTTCCCTGAAGGTGGCTGGACATACCTCCACTTGGCTGGCCTTGGTTCAGGCTTGTGCTTTAAACTTTAAAATAATAGCCACTAATTTTTAATCTGTTGGTCTCTCAGTTTTTAATTGCTGAGTAGCATTGCATTGTGTGAGATCAAACACTTTCAATCCCCTAGAAATGTGACAAGACTGTGGTTTTATATACCTACAAATCAAACACTGACTTTGCAAAGGGTTGTCATAATGCAAAACCCTAAAGACATTTTCAATTTGATCAAAAGAATCTTTGGCTTTTACTATAATGGGCGGAGAATCTATTGCACAGTCTCATTGTTCAGAGAATTACAAGGAATGACGGAAGTATAGAATCTGAAAATAGAAGGCACATCTGGTGACTAGAGATCATCAGTGCCAAAGGTTTCTTGAAACAGGTAGCATTTAACCTGAGTCTTGAAGGATATGGGTAGTTGACAGAAGTAAATATATGAAGCCCTGAAATTCTTGGGAAGCTTGTAAAGGGAAACACCATTTCTCCTTTGACATTTTAAGAGAGGATGAAACAAAGAAATGTTGCAAATGGTCCTCAGAGGGTTCATTCAGTAAGCAAGGAAGAGAAGGTGGAGTGTAAAGATATTGTGAAATCAGGGCTTTGGAAAGCTCATTCTGAAAGCACAGTGTACTGAACTGAAGAGAAGCAGGACAACCATCAGACCTCATTTTGCCCTCCTCAGTAAATGGCCTCTTGATGGCATTCCCCAAATATTTCAATTGATCGCAGCATGTCCACCACAGTCAGGAATCTGTAGAAACTAGACAAATAGAGAAATAATCCATTGTTTCCAAGGAACTTAATTGTTTTTTTTTTTACTAGAAATACATGAACCGATGGCTTGGGGCTGAAAACTAATCAAGGTTCATTTCAGGAAAGGATTTTCATTTTCTTTCTGCAGAATACCAATAGGCAGGACCAAGTTTGAAGAATGAATAGAAAATATGATAAATTTCATGAAAACAAGCATTTCTCTCTAATCTTTGTTTCTCTTTACTTTTCTTATATCTTCTTTTTTTATCTCCACATTGACCTTATTTTTAATAAACTTTATTATAGAAATATTATATGAGAAAAGAATCTATTTTCAAGAAAAATGACTTGCAAATAAATGCACCACACACCAAAATCATCCAGACGCAGGGTCTATAGAATATATTGAACTCATATACTGCTAGAATTGGCGTTCATCACTGAAGCTATCAAGCTTCACATTAAATATTGTACTTTTAGTATAAAATATAGTTTATGTACTTATCAACCAAAACACAAATGGCAGAATTAGAAGTAGAAAACCAGTTAGCTTTATTTTCTCTATCATAACTCGTGCCCATTATTTGAATTCACATTGGCCTTATTGGCTTATTTCTGCTAAGAATCAAACAATCTCTAGGAAAACAGAATGGTTCAGCCAAACATCATATCTGACTATCCCCCAAAAGTAACAGAAATCCGAACAGGACCTCATTATCATATATACCTCCAAATGCAGGCAGCAACCTCTCTACATGAACGTCAAAGTTCCTAAGCCAAACTTTGGGCAGACTGCAAGGAATCTTTTGAAAGAAGGGGAAGATACAAAGACATGAAGAGGACAGAAGCTCCACAAAGAAAGCAACAGAACCAAAAAAATCTGGGCAGAGGGGTCTTTTCTGAGACTGATACTGCAAACAAGGACCATGCATGGAGATAACCTAGAACACCTGCACAGATGTAGCCCTTGGCAGCTCAGTATCCAAGAGGGTTCCCTAGTAAGGGGAACAGGGAATGTCTCTGACTTGAACTCAGGGGCTGGCTCTTTGATCACCTCCCCCTGATGGGGAAGCAGCCTTACAAGGCCACAGAGGAAGACAATGTAGCCAGTCCTGATGAGACCTGATAGACTAGGGTCAGATTGAAGGGGGGAGGAAGAACTCCCCTATCACTGAACTGGGGGAGGGGCATAGGAGAAAAAGAGGAATGGAGGGTGGGATTGGGAGAGGAAGAAGAAGGGGGATACAAAGTGAATAAACTAAAATAGATAGATAGATAGATAGATAGATAGATAGATAGATAGATAGATAGATAAATTTTTTAAAAGTTCCTAAGCCACACCCAGCATTCATTTTGCTTGTCATTCAAAATGATAGTGCCTTGGCAAGCAAAGACTGGAATTTGGAAAAAGAAAAGGACTTTTTACTGGAAAGTGCTTTGGAGTGTCTTTAGTTTCACAGTGCTGTGAATGACCTGAGTTCATCCTCACCTAGGACTCAAGAGGGTAGAGGATAACCATATCTAAGCCTATAGCTAGAGACCCAAACATAGTACATTAGACTACTTGCCCGGGTGAGAGGTCAAAGAAAATAACACATTTTACAAAACTTGATTTGGATGGGAATTCGTAAAGGCATTTTTCCTCTCTTTATTTTCTTCTTGTCACTTTCTTCTTGTAGCTGGCTGCTGAGAAGAAGTTTCTAACTCTTTGCAACTGTAAAACCAGTAGCTACACACCTTGGCTGATCCTTCCATGGACTGTTTCTAAGCTAGTTTCTAAACTAGGATTTGGAATATGACATGACAATTCAATCTAATATTTTTTGTTCCCATCTCTATAAACTAAAAGTATTTCTATCACATCTTTTTTTATATAAATATTTTTCTAGTTTGTATTTTCATTGATATGTTAATTGGACATGTTGAAAGGATTTAGTACATTTTCATTACATGCACATACCATGGACGAATCAAATCCAGCCTCCCATTCTCCGTCTGCCCCTTACAATCTCTAAGGAACACTATTCTGCAGTCAGGTCTGTATTTTTCAGCTTTCATATGTGAGCCAGACTATGTGGTATTTGCCGTTCAGTGTCTGGCTTATTTCACTAAGCACAATGCCCTCTAGTTCAATATATTGAAAATGACAAGATTTCATTCTTCTTTAGATTAAGTAGTACTTTACTGTATGTGGGGATCAGGAACAGGGGGAAGAGGGATGAATGGCCACAGAGCCCACGCAGAAGTCCGGGAATCAGACGCAAACGTGCAGAACTAACTTTGTTGTACAGTGTAACCATCTTTAAAGGATTGGAGGGCCAATCAGACCATCCCAAGCTAGGCTCAAGCACCAGTAACAATCAATCAGGTCGGTGCAACTATAAGGAAATGTGGGAGATGTGGGAGATGTGGGGGGGACGACAAGGTCACCTTAGAAGGCATCTATAAATAAGGAAAAAGCAGTCATCGCCCTAGCCTGGGATCCATTTTGAGACATCACTAGTGTGTTAGGAGTCCCCAGTGGATCAACACTGATTGCGGGGATCACGACCTTAAGGGGAGCCATAGGAGTCATTGATGCTTCACTTGACATTCCCCCTGGGCCTCCAAAAGGCTTATCTCGACATTCTTTACAGCTATGTGTATATATCGTGTTTTCTTCACCCATTTATCTATTCATGGGGACCTTGGTTAATGCCATAACTATTCTATATAGTGCCCCCCAAATCATGTGCATGCAGATAGCTCTTTTGTGTGTTGACTTGCCAAATGCAAGTGGATATGCATCGAAAGGCAAGGAAACTAGATTACGTAGCGTATCTATTTTCAGTTTCTTGAAGAATGATCTTACTGTTCTCTACAATGACTGTGCTACTTTGCCTTCCTTATGATAGTGTATGGAAGTTCCTGTTTCTCCATATGGTTGTCATTATTTGTCACCTTTATCATTTTCACATTAGGTGTTCTAACCAGGATGATATACTGTCTTACAGTTTTTGGTTCACATTTCTCTGTTTGGTAAACCTATTGAGTATTATATGTTTATTGCGTGGGTCAATGTATTAAGTATTCCCGCTCTAGGTTCTTATGGAAATTCTAGATTCTTTATCTTTATGTCTGATTTCTTTGGACATAATAATTGTTATCTTCAGTCATGCTCACAGGCCCTTGCAGTATTGTGCCTATTAATATTGCCACGTGGAAAGGCAAGAGGATTCACAAGACAGATGAAGTGCCTCCTTTACTGGGGGCTATATAAGCAGTTAACAGTTGCTGAGAAGGAGAAAGTCTTTGGTGTTGTCTTCATCACTGCTCTATTTCTGTAAAGAGACCATGACCAAGGCAACTCTTCTAAAAAAAAACATTTAAATGGAAGCTTGCTTACAGTTTCAGAAGTTCAGTCCATTATTTTCAAGGCAGGAAGCCTAGCAACACTGGAGCAGTTACTGAGAGCTGCCTCCTGATCCATAAAAGCTGCCTGGCTTGAGCTTTTGAAATCTCAAAGCTTACCTCTAATGGCACACTTCCTCCAAGAAGGCCACACCCCCTAATTATTTTAATTCTATCAAAGAGCTCCACTCTGTGGAGTGTAAGCATTCAAATATATGAGCCTGTGGGGACCACTCTTACTCAAACCATCACTGGTGCAGCCCATTCTTCTGTAAGTAACTCTTCAGCTGTGTTGGATAGAATCATTTCTTTGGTCTATCATTGCTTTATTCTCTCAGGTGAATAGAAATAAATTGTTCATAAATCACTTAATGGGCTTACACTTAGTGCTTTGGTTCATCTTGAGTTTATGTTTTCCCTG